AAGTTAGAGCCCAGAGTGGGCCAGGACAGGCTGGCCTTGCCTTGACCCCGCCCCACCCTGTCCCCTGAGCCCTGAGTGAGGGGGATGGACTCCACCCTGACCTGCCCTCCCCTCAGCGGTGTCCGGAAGCCCCTTCTCTGGCTGCCCACCCACCAGCCTTCCGGCTCCAGGCCTCTGCCCACACCAGATGTGTCTCCCCAGATGGTCCGTCCCTCTTCCATACCATTGTCTGAGTCCCTGAGCTGTTTAACTCTCACTTTCCTCTTCCTTGGCAAGGAGGCTCCCCAACTCCTACGCATCTGGCAAAGCCCTGGCTTCAAGGCTCCCTCCTCTGGAAAGCCTTCCTGATCTCCCAGACACTCAGTCCTCCGTCCCCTCTCTGTGTCCCAGCCCAGGCAGTGGGACAATTCTGAGCCCCAGGTGGGACTTGAAACTAGTCCTGCCCTTGAGCTTCCTCTGGGCTGAAGAAAACAGAGCTGGACACAGACTGTCCCAGCCCCCTGGGATCAGGGCTGGGCCAAAAGAAGTGACAGGGCCTAGGTGAGCCCAGAGGTGAGCTGGGAAGGCATGGGGTGGGGGGAGGGAGAGGGCATGGGGTGTGGGGCTTTGTGGGGTAAGTAGGAGTTCCCCAGGTCTGGGACACAGGGCAGCGGCAGGAATTTCATGTACTGAACTTTGGAGTCAAGAGAGAGCATGAGGCCTTGGAGAAGTGACTACAAGGGGCAGATATGGTGGGAAGAGGATGCGGGGCTCGGCCGCAGATGGGAGGGTGAGAGATGGAGGCAGGCTGTTCCATTCCCACTTCCTCTGTCCTCAGCCCCGAGATAACAAGGACAATGGCCCTTCTGGGAAAGAGCCTTGACAGGGTCAGAGAAAGGCATTTGACTTGCCATTTAGCCTGTCTTGTTATATCTCTGCAAGGCAGGGGGTAAAAATGCTCATTTTATAGATGGGGAAACTGAGGCCCAGAGAGGATGATACCAAGGTCACGTGTGGGATTTGAACACAAGCTCTTGGCTTCCACCACCTCCCAGGCTGGGGGCTAGAGGTCTCGGCCTTGGCCCATCCCCCCACCAGCCCACCGGCCTGCCCCGGTTCAATGGACGCAGAGGAGGCTTGGGTGGGAGGGGTTATAACGGACCAGGGGGCCAGATGGTGGGAACGGAGGCCAAGTTCAGGATGTGTCCCCCTTGGCTGTGGTTTCCGGTGGGGGCCAGGCAGAGATCTTCTATTCTTAGCTGTGAACACACCCAGCCAGGGGCAGGAAGAAGCTGGGGTGGGGGTTGGGGGCAGCTTTCAGGACATCAGGTGGACTTCGGGCCAGGGCAGGGGTCGTGGGGCAGCTGGGAGGGTGTGGTGCCTATTGGCCCCGACCTCCAGTCTTCAAGGGGTCTCTTTAACATCCAGTTTGGTGACCCTGCCCCACTCACTTACCCTCCATGGCTCCCCAGTGCCCTGGGAAGAGTGCAGCTCTCTGGCTTGGCATTCAGCCCTGCCAAGGGCTGCCCCCTGCCCTGGGCACACCTGCTGACCTGTCCTCTGCAAGGCAACTCCCACCCTCCTTCCAGGCCCAGTGCCTTCAGTATCCCTTCTGGGGTCCCCCAGACCCAGTGTCTCCCCCTGCCCCAGCTCT